GTGATCATCTAAGAGTTGTCCTGACACATTAAATATTTGGATTTTTTGAAAAAATTGTTTAATTTAACCCAGACCGGAACCAAAATGGCGTTAAGCTCCCATATTTCGATCAATCTACAATTCTAAAAGGCTCTGATATGAGAAACGAAATGGTCAGGATAATATTACGACAATTTAGAACACTGGTAATCTATAAACTCGAATTTGAACGAGATAAAGACAAAAAAAGTGTTTTATGCGCTTCTATGCTAAAATGATGGGGATACGAGGTCTCGGAGTGAAAATTTAATTGACCTGGAAATCACAGATGGCGCAAGGGGTCCCTCTGCAGTCAATTAGGGCCCCAGAAAGCATGAATCCAGAGGATTTCTGGAGTTTTAATTCGATTTCTTTGTAATTAATGTACGAAAACGACAGGTGGACTATGCCATTTGGTACAATACCCAATATAATCTGACACAGCTGTCAATATAAAAACGAACATCAGGAACGTAGGTATTTGGAAAAATCTTCTTCATCGACGTCGATCAAGTTCCTCGACGTGTTTCACTTCACCTTAAGAGAACTTATCACAGACCCATGTTTGGGCATAATGAAAGTACGTTCCGTTTTCGAGAACCTGTCTTTTTTTTTCAGATTTTTCCATGCCATCCGCTATACGCTACGCTGATTTGAAAATATTCAAGGTCACGGTTGGCTTAGTCAACGTGTTTGTCATCGTTTGCAATTACGGAGATATGGTCTTAGTCTCATTTCATTATACTAAACGGTACACGTGGTTATCAGACGTGTATAACTTTGTTTTTTCTTGATTTTTAGCCATTTTTTCGACGTGCAATGTAGATTTGATGTAACGTTATCATAAAAGCTCTTCTACTGAAAACGCAGAAATGTAACAGACCCTGTGATATTGCGTTCGATGGATTATTCTAAAAAATAGCTGTCGCAGGAATATAGGATCGCGATGCAACATTAATTTTTCATAATTGTCAATTGATAAAACAATATTAATTATAAGCCTAACTTAAGAAATCATAATTCTCGGAAGACATGAATGTTTCGCAATGAAAAATTTCACGTAATTGTCATGTCAAAAGTAAGCGTTGTAACATTAGCGATTAATGTTAATTATAATTAATTAATAACATAAATTCGCGAAATATTTCGCAGAAAGTAGAATAATTTCGAGGATAATCGTTTATCGAAATTGAAATAAATTTTACGGTTGACTGTTCGTCAAATCGACTTCGTAATTCTTGACAATTGTACTTCCTAAGTAAATAGACTAAATAAACGTGAATAACATCCCTCTTAACGTTGAAAGGTACCAAAAACATATTTTCCTACGAACTACGCAAATGTACAAATAAATTTCGGGGGTTTCTCTCAAACATACGCGGCAACATTTAAATATTGCTAAATAAAACCGGATAAACACAAATTCAAATTTGATGACTCTAGAATGTGCAGATCACAATAAATCGGTAATAAATTTAACACCATTTTACGAATATCGCGATCAGAATATTAATAGTAATCATATGTTGATCTAATTCGGAATATTCATATCCAATTATTCAAAATAATTCCATTGTTATTTTAATTATTCGGAATGCATAGAAATGTATCATTATGATACCTTTTGCAGCTCTGACTGCTCTTATACTGGGTTGGCAACTAAGTAATAGCGGATTTTTTAATACCATCTATCGACAAAATCCGCAATCATTTAGTTGCCAACCCAATAATTCACATTTTCATACACCGAATTATAATGTTACAAAATTTTCATCTAATTGCTTTCTACTTATGAAAATGCTCATGATTCAGTTTATGCCTACATTATTAAATTGAAGAACAAATTTCAAGAAACCCTCGACTTGATCGCAAGATCTTTTTTTTGAGTTCGCATTAATAGCACATTTGAAAAGCTAATCTACTTGTGATGTACGAAAACCGTACATTAGTGCATTTATATGGATAATTAATATAAGTAAAATATTAACAAAAAAGTTCGTGCGGTTTTTGGTCGAATTCTCTGTAATGAAAAACCTGCACGAACTTTTTGGTTTCTTAATGTGTGTACAGAATATGTTATGCCTCTAAGCCTGTATGTCTACATTAATGGTAAATGTAATTAAATGGAATGAAAACATAAAATAAAGTTGGGTTGATCTCTGATCGAAGGATCTTTTAATTATGAAAAGACCGATTTTAATTAATGAAGTCTAAGATTTCAGTTTAAATATCGAAAGATGTAATGAGATGAATATCAACAGTATTGCATTAAATGCATACATATACGTACATATGTACACATAAACGCGTTACGTCGTATTTGATATGATATTCAGAGATTATTTTTATAGCTAGAAACATCTTCTACCTCTTTAATTCTACTGATTATATTTCATAAAATAAGATATTCGGTTTGCTAATTCTGGCCTGTTGGCTGAAAATTCATATAAATATACAGATTTCTGACCCGTTCAACATTTTGAATAGCATTGTTTTTAACTTTTGACACGCAAAATGAAAATATAAATGGATTTCATGATTTATCATGAATTGTTCGGATTATTATGGTTTACTATCGACATTTTAATTGATCTCACGGTGAACGAGAGATAGCAAGATGAATGATTGTTATACTATTTCTCACATTTCCACTCTTATCATATAATCAGTTGCCAGGGACCCAGTTGTCGAGTTCTTACGACCAACTTTCGCATGCAAAATTGATAGTATCGTACACGACTGTCAAATGTTCATCAATGACGCGACTTCGCAACAATGCAAAATTTTGTATACGAATTTATTCGTATGCGAAAAAAAATCCATATGAATTCGGGAATAGGAGCCTAGGAGGTTGATTCTCGAGTTTATATGGATTTTTTTCGTATACAAATATATTCGTATAAAAAATTTTGCATTATTGAGAAATTGAGTCATTGTCCAGATTGAAATTCACGATCATCGTATGATGAGGCAAATCGATTTACAAACAATTTGCAGATCATTTGCTGTATGAAATGTCTGCCATATATTATTGTACGTATTATTTATACGTAATTGTTTATACGTATTTGTACGTAAATTATTTAATATACGTACATAATATCATGTACGTATATTAAACAATAAATTTAAAGAAAAATTTGCGGTAAATTTATCACGCCATGCTTCAAATATGAGCTACAGATGCTGCAATTGTTTATCAGCAATGCGTGAGATAAATTTAGCTGTACATATGCGTACAAACATTGAGACATTGCATGTATTTAACTTTGTTTCATATTTAAGTATTTTTGGTTCGTCATCGTGTATTGCAGATATGAGTACCAAATGAGGACTCATAAGCAACACCCTCATGACTCACTATTTCATGATCTTGTATGAGGCAAACCTGATGTAAATTTTGTATCACTTGATCTATCTGGGTGGTCAACGTTTCAAAGTCGTATACAGCAATGTCAATTTCGTACACAAAAGTTGTTCGTATGAATTCGAGAATCGGGACCCTGTTTTTTCTTTAATTAGTTTAAAGAGCTGTTACAATTGTTCTCTCGTGATATTACACATGGTTACAAAATCTCGTGATATATCGTATTAATATCTCTGATAAACTAAGCTGTTACAATTTGCATTAAGGAAAACGTAATAAAATGCAGTGAAAGTCGAAGAAGGAAAGAGAAAACTATTTATGCAAATTGTGTTATCATTATCCATAACAAAATCAATTTGTTAATCAATCAAGAATGACCTGTTCAACCAATCAAGGTTTATGTTCAATGTATTAATGATTAAGGTGATATGAAAGTGGCGTCAAAGAGGTCTCGTTTATGACTTTTCTTCGAACTGGATATTTTGAATCGTTTCAAATTTCACATGGTGAATGTGGAGGTTATAAGGAAAATCCCGACAACTATGAAATTTCATGGTTGTCAGGACCTTTCTTATAGTTTCCATATTCTAAAGTTAGTAATATTCTGAAGTATAATAAAATAAAATATAATAGTATTGTAATGTCTAAAGCGATTCGATACATCCAGCTTGGAGAAAAGTTTCAAGAACTTCTCAGATGTCATTTTCATATCCCTTTAATCTAAATAAAATGAAATTTTGTATCGAATGTCGTCTCTGTTTTTCTCATTTCTATTCTATCAGATAATCAATCAATTAGCTTCCTTTTCTTTCTGTACGCGTTATTTGTGTTAAGTAATGTGTCTTGATAACTGTATTTATTTAGCTGTCCGATTTTTGCAGGTACTTGAAGAAGCAACCTCTTCCAGCAAGACATCATAATGAATATAAATAACTGCATTTGCCAGATATCTTTAGTAAAGTAAGCTGCTGGGAGAATAAATTAGTACAAAATATCATTAAATGTAATAACCGCAAAAGAGGGAAAAAAATGTCGAAAACGCGTTATGAGTATTTATCGTATTAATAAGTTTTTTTACTGACCAAGAATGTTTGCTCAGCTTGTTCAAGTTATTTTCATCATATCAGTGATCATTTTGAACGGATATGAAATCCTAATTTGTATAGAATTTCGTTCGTTCACTCTTGCTCTCATTTCTTTTCTCATAATTAATTAGTTGCTATCTTTCTAACACTTAATTTGTTAAATATTGTGTTTTCCTGCAAGATACAACTTTGCTAACAGAGACATTTTGAATATTAATAATTGTGTTAACTGAATATTCCTCATGAATTTAACTGTGACGAATATCAATTAAGATGATGTGAAAATGGTGTCAAAGAGGTCCCGTTTATAAATCTTATCTCCATATCGGGTGTACCGAATCATTTTAAACTTGACAATATGAATATGGAGGCTATAAGGAAGGTCCTGACACCCTTAACATTTCAATTCTTTAAAAATTTGTTTATAGATATTTTCAAAATTTGTCATAAAAAATATGAAATTTTATGAATGTCAAGACCTTCCTTATACCCTCCATGTTCACGTTGTAAAGTTTGAAACAATTCGGTATATCCAGTCGTAGAAAAGTTTCATGAACGATTGGCCTTTCGGATGCCACTTTCACATCCCCTTAACATGAAATGCAATTAACGAGATGAAATGAAGTTAAACGAAAGGAGATAATTTTTGGCAGCGTTTAGGATATCACACAATTAGATCTAGCAGTTTGCCCTGTCTTAGAAGAGGTTGCAGTCCCAATGGAAGTCAAGGATTCTCTTCTGGAAGGTCCGGGATGCAAGATTAAAGTCCCTGTAGTATCCAAGAATTCCTCGTCCTTGTCAGAGTCCGTTTCCTTTTCCTTTTCTTCTTTCTCCTTTAATTGATAGACGTAACGATCAATCATGTTCTGTTCCTGAGGAGTAATTGGATTCCCATTACTCGTCATGTATGGAAGAGCATGATCGAGTTGGGCTCTCTTCGAGTAAACTTTTTGCAGTTCAGTGAAAGGTCCTTTGTCATTTTCTGTGGAGCGAATATTTTGCATCCAAGATGCCTTGTCATTATTCGTTACAAAACCAATTTGTTTACTGGTAAGCACGGCCCTATTTTCCACCTCTGGTTGATTTTCCGCATCTAACATCTCAGTGGTGAATCCCATAGAAAGCGAGTTTGTCGGTCTGGAGTTGTAAGACAAACGTTGGACATTGTTCGATAATTTTCCAGCGTTATCGGAGTGTCTATTTGTCGTTTGTCCTTCGTAAGAGTATCTTTCCAGAGAGCCACTACTCGGTCCACTCCATGGTGCTGTAAAATCAAGATTATATGGAATTAATGATAGGGAATAATAATTAAATTGACGTATACTGTTCACAAAAAAAATTGCAAATTTAAGAATAAAAGTTGTACAAATCAGAGGCTAACATATATCGTTCAGGATAATACAAAAAGACAGTGAACCAATTTTGGCTTAAAAATACTTGCAGTTACCGAGATATCGTCATAGTTCTCTTTTGTTAAGCCAAACAATATATGTATACTGTTATTAGAAATCCACAACATTGATTTTCAGGTATTACAGATTTTGACGAGCAATGTATTTACATGTCTATAATTAAAATGAAAAACACGTAGTTTTAAAACTCTACTCAACGATTAAATATAATCGCCCTTAAGAAACGTTGTTCTATGCAAGTGTAATATCCAAGATTTTATGCATTTTTTTGAAACTGTAATTCACTTTTATAGACTTTCATACAGTTGTTGACTCGGAAAGAAATAAGATGTAGGCGACAAAAATATTTGGATAGAGAATTTGATCAAAGATATTTACAAATCTAAGAAATTTTACGTCTCTTCAAAGTGATTACCTTTTTGATTCAACCTCGCATAAACCTACGGTGATTCCGAAGACGTCACGTTTACCTACACGTCACCGTTTTACAAGTCTCGAATTTACATAAACATGTGTAGGGCAACTTCACTCGTATCATTTGAAGTGTGGTGATATTAATTTTACATAATTTAAACATTGCAATGCAAATTTACCTGTACTCTTCGTAGTGGGGTTCCCCTCGGAATCTCCTGGGAATCTAGGTCGAGGAACAGGATTGTCATTCGAAATACGATTGGCAGGTAAATTTTGATCTTGGATGACGAGATCCTCGTTCTTAGGATTCACGGTCTGAGCAAAGGGGACATGTTGTCCTTCAGTAGCGTTATTTCGCCACCTGGCACTGTTCATTACGAGCTGAGCCAATTGCTGAATGGTCTGTCGAGGAACTTCTGCACTTGCTCCCTGAAGGTCTGGACGTCGAGGGGGTTTTGCAGGAGTAGAGGAGTCCATCGGATCCCTGGCGTATCCTGGTCCAATATTGAGCTGTCGAAGGCGTTCATAGCTCTCTCCGTGACCGGTGAGTAAATCGTCTTCGCGGAACTTTCTCCTTTGTCCCTCGGTCTCCTTAAAGTTGAACTTGACATCTCGAGTTGGCACGTTTTGAGTTTCCCTTCGCTCTGATGAGTATCTGTTCCAGGTCCAGTTCTGTTGCAAACCTTCCGAAGACTTACACTCAGCATCCAGAAACGCTGCGGTGAGGATCATAGCTGGAGTTGGTTCGCGGTCGGTGACTAATCTGTTTCGGGCTGCCAGTTCTTCCCTCATGTTTTCTTGAATCCTGGAGTTCTTTATTCTCTCTTCAACCTGCCTCTCCATCCCCAGGAAAGCTGTCGTTTCAAATATTAAGTTCTTGGTGTCCGTAAGGAATTCGATCTGCTTTGCTATGCGTCTCTCCGCAGAGGACTGAGTACGAGCCTCTGTGTTAGAGTTCTGTCGAAGTCCAAGTTGTTGTTGCGCCTTGACAAAGGGTGACTGCGAGACCGGTCCTAATAAAACAGAAATATACAAAGTTCTATATCACATTGCATAAAAAACACGGAAAACTCAGGGAATATAAATTATTAACATGAGAATATTTGAAATCTAGTTACTCTTGATGTATTTTTCATACTAGAATGAAGTCGATTAATTTACTTCAAGGAAGAGAAACACGTGTTTCAATCTCTTGTTACTTTGATTTTGGACTCTGGTAACTATTGAAATATTTTTAATACCAGAATAGCCTTCGTAAATTTACCTTAAAGAAAAGATTATTGAATTGTCACAGAAAAAACAATTCAAAAACTAAGATTATGTCCATGAAGTCACGGATTATTGAAATGACTGCCTTTTCATACATTTCAAAAATAATAGTACTTAATAATTTATAGATTTCTTAATTTTCAATTAATTCAAATTAAAATGAAGGGGTTGCACAGTAATAGAATGTTATCCATGAAATATTTATAATAACTGTATACCGAGTTTTGTCCATATCTGTCCCATCTTTCTATTCGGACTCATTAGAGGAGAGACAACTCCTGGTTTCGTCTGAATTGGGTTTTGATTAATTAATTGGACATTGCTGTTTGCAACGGTGCAAGGCACTCTGCAAGGCTTCGGAGGGACTAAATCCAGCTTCGGTGGGATTACTCCTGGCTTTGGAGGTGGATCCAAATTCGTTATCATCGGCTCCGAAAGCGGTGGAGTTATTTCAGCTGCCTTCTCCTGATTATTGCTCAATACCGAAGTATGTACAACATGTAATAAGTGATCCAAACGATTTTCCAGCCTTTGTTGGCGATCTCGATCCAAATCAAGAAATTTCGTTACCATATCCGTCTGGGCCGCAAGAATCTGAAATTATTTTTACATTAGATATATCATTTGGAAAGGTTTTTATTAACATAACAAGTATCAGAGGATTCGTTCTAAATACTTTTTGCTCTAAATCAAAGCACACACGCCTGAAAAACTGTCCCAGCAAACAGATTCACGTTATCTACACGTCATTATCTCGTATTTCTTCGTCGGTAACGTCACATGCTCTACATTTCACGTACATTGAACGTCCTTTGTGAGTTGTCTTCTTAATGTATACAATAGTACGTTACTGTGGCGTTACATTCGGATGACATATGTGACCTTGCAAAAGTTGTTAATAAATGTATTTTTACATTGTATTATTTACTTGATAATCCTAAATAAATATTATTTAATTAATAATGCGAGTTTTGCTAATTTATTACATCAGTTGTATTATGAAACATTTTGTATTTTCTACGATACTAGTATGTAGAGTAACAGAATAAAATATTAAGTCGACTAGGGTAAAAGCAGATTTAAAGTGTTACCTACATTAGCAACGTTTATTGTTCATGCAAATTCAAGTGGTTTTCAATTTGACGCTGTTCATAGGTAGCAGCACGTATATAAAATCACGGCGAATCATGCGCAGGCGAATTTCCGTTTCCCGCCAATATCTCTTTTTCGTTGTTACGTTCGACACCGTTGGATATCGCACTAAGTACGTCTTTTCTAATAGTATTGCTCCCATTTTTGCGGAATTAAAATCGTGTGGCTCTTTCAATGCGGTGAGTGATCTGCGAATATTTTAAGTGGAATATTTTCGTATAATTATATAAAGTGTTGTCGTCTTTATTTTTTAGGCTAGCTTGCGCCACGTGTTTCATGTTTAGGTAGAGTAACATCTAATTCTGTTCTAAAATTAATAAGTAAATGTGTCCTTGTAGGTAAAAATGACTTTTGTAGGCATTCAATTCGATGAAAAAGATGGTGAAGGTTTGGCAGTTGTCCACGAAAAATGGTTAACGTCGCGGAAGAAATAAGTGTTTTGGCCGCCAATAAAACAATAAAATAATTATAAAAAATTAAAAAAAAACGGTGGTACACCAGATGAAGGGACTTGGGAACTGTATTCTATTTCACGGCAATTTTTTGATACAGGTAACTGTTTCTGTTTTACAATAGATAAGTGTTTTGAATGCTAATGAATTATTATGTTCAGACGATTATATTAAAGCTCGTCGCAAAATGAAGCTAGCTGAGTCTACTTCAGACCTGCAAGGTGAAGCAGAGATCCCTTTGAAACGCAAAAGAATTACTCGAAAGCCATCCCGTTTTTCAAGTTCTAGTGGAAGTGAGGATGGCGCAATTACGTCAGTCACAAAACTAAAAAGACATATATAGCCTTATATTGGCCCCCGAAATGAATCACAATCTCCAGCTTAATACAATTTACAAATTAATTTCAATTACTTTACCAAAAAATAATAAAAAATAAAAAATTATATAACTGGATAAAATTGCGTGATCTTTTTAATTAAAGGTATGAAAAAATTAATATTACTTTAAGGTAACTGAAATTACAACATTGATATAACATTAATATAACATGTTACATAATATGTTACCTTACTGTGTGGGAAATAATAATTAACATCTAACTTCCACATTACTTTTATGCTACATAACGTGTTAGTTTCGAAAACGTAACATTTACCTAACAGTTATATAACAGTGTTCACTGGGTAGAAGATTATTTAGAAGATTTTATTAATGATTTAAATCATATTTTGGAAGAGGGTTTTGAATATAATTTTCAAAAATATTAAATCAAGATACATAGTTTCATATGCGATGCACCAGCTAGGTCTTATTTAAAATGCATAAAATCGTACAGTGGATACTCTTCCTCCGAAAAATATATCGAATCGGGAGAGTTCTTTGAAAGGCGAGTAATTTTTATTTCAACAAATTCCTCTCTTAGAACAGGTTTGAGTTTTGTACAACAAGTAGATGAAGATCATCATCTAAGAATAACTCCGTTACTTAAGGTGAAGTGAAACACGTCGAGGAACTTGATCGACGTCGATAAAGAAGATTTTTCTAAATGCCTACGTTGCCGACGTTCGTTTTTATATTGACAGCTGTGTCGAATTATATTGGATATTGTACCAAATGGCATACTCCACCTGTCGTTTTCATACAATAATTATAAAGAAATTGAATATAACTCCAGAAATCCTCTGGATTCATGCTTTCTGGGGCCCAAATTAACTGCAGAGGGACCCCCTGCGCCATCTGTGATTACCAGGTCAATTAAATTTTCACTCCGAGACCTCGTATTACCATCGTTTTGGCATAGAAGCGCATACAACACTTTTCTTGCCTTTATCCCGTTCAAATGCGAGTTTATCAATTACCAGAGTGTTCTAAATTGTCGTAAAATTGTCCTGACCCTTTCGTTTCTCATATCAGAGCCTTCGATAATTGTATATTGATCGAAATGTGAGAGCTCGACGCCATTTTGGTTCTGGTCTGGGCTAAGTTAAAAAATTGTATCCAAAAATCTCAATTTTAAATGTGTCAGGACAATTCTTAGATGATCAGGAGTGATCTGTTAAAGTTTCGGACAGTTTGGTCTAATACCATTAAAAAAAAGTGTTGTATTCGAATCGACTGATTTGAAGGGGGTTTCACTTCACCTTAATCTGCCTATAGGGATGAAAATGAATTTTCCCATTGATTACATGTACAACTGTTGCTTAGGTGTAATGAGAAAATGACTGCATGCATGGATTGGTGGGCCACTCCAAGTTAGGTTAAAAAGCGTAGATATTCATAAAATATCAAAATCTTTAATATCTTTCAAAACTTATTTTCCTGTAGAGTTTAATAGGAAACCTCGTACTTTATCAGAACTAGCAAGATGGACGGCTACTGAATTACGTACGTTTTTGCTTTATTTGGGTCCAGTGGTCCTGAAAAATATTTCAGATGTAGCAGTTTATAAACATTATCTTTCATTGCACACGGGAATTACGATTATGGTTTTTGAAAAACATTTATCCATATTTGGATGTGATCGAGCTGGTGAATTGCTAAATCTTTTTGTCTACCGTTGCATACACATGTATGGCAAAGCTTTTCTTATATATAATGTGCACATGCTATGTCACCTTTATCTTGATGTTAAAAAGCATGGTTCACTCGATAATTTCTCTTCATTTCCGTTTGAAAATTATCTCGGATTCCTTAAATGGATGGTAAAGTCTATCATTAATCCCTTGTAAGAGGTGTATAATCGAATCAATGAAATAAGCAAATTTTCTTTAAACGTTTTAAGAATGAGAGAAAACAAAATGAATGCTACAATGCAACACAATAATGGTCCTTTATCTTTAACTGCCCCTTGTTTATCTTACAAACAGTTTAAAAAATTGCATTATCAAAATGTAACATTTTTAGTTTATTCTCATTCAAAAGCAGATTGTTACTGTTTGGTCGAGGACACTGTGATGCAAATTTTTAATATTTTAGTAAGTTCTGATCATGGCTTATCGGCAGAGGATTTTATTCATCCCGTCCATTATATAAGTATACCTTTTCATCTGAACTGTTAAACATTCGTATAGTTTTTGATTTAGGAAAAGATATTGATACGTGCCCAGTAGATAATATAGTGTCTAAGTGTATTGTATTACCTCTAGATGAAAGTAAGAAGAGATGGATTTCTTTACCAATTATACACTCCCTCTCAAATTTGTTATAACTGTAACAACAGTATGAATTAGTGATATAATCAGTACAAATGCAGTATTTAATTTAAGACTGTGTCATGTTTCCATTAAATGTTGCCTTGGATAGAAATGTGTACCTACGAGCTTGCACAGACTATTTTTTGCTGACTATTTGGGAGAAGGAGGAACGCATTTACGTATTAATACGCGTTTTTTTTTTTTCCATTTTGTATCCATTTCTGGTTAGGAAACTTGTAATGTCAGTCATCATACAAATCCATATAATTTATAGTCCGAATGTTTATTTGAACCTAATTATAACAATTGTAGGGTCATTTATAATGGAGTGAATATTATCTGCCAGTTTTCAATTTCTTATAGAACGTAATTTTGTTAAGTACCTGTCTGGTTCTAATTGTACGTACAGAGCTATGGATTATTATAAGACTGCATTGTAATTATTTTGTATGTTTAAAAAGTTTATACTGAGTACGCTTATACTGAGCTTTTTGAAAAAAAGTTTCAAAAGTTTTTGTGTTTTAATAACGTTGACACGTATTGTAGTATTTTATTTACATATACCATACGTTGGTCAAAAATGCATCAAACATACGTTAGATTTAATTTTCCTTGACGTGATACCGGAACGTCACGAAAACGTAATCATGTGACGTTATTGGGCTGTGACATTTTGCCTAATGAGGTACGTAAAACGGACATTAGATTTGATCATTTTATGACGTTAGTAGGTCTATAAGTGACCTTAAATTTACGTGTAGACGACGTGAGTCTGTTTGCTGGGCGTATTTCTAAAACTATTATTTATTAATAAAAATTAATAAATAAATTTTTTTAATCACATTCGTCAATCGAGAGATGTTAAATTAGATTCTGCTATTTAAGTATATCTATTGTACACTATTTTCATTTTCTTCTATACACTAGATTACCTACTAGACTTAAAAAAAAAAAACTAAACCCAATAATTGGAAGTTCACTCAAAAGCTTGTAGTCAAACAACTTACCTTGTTAACGACTTCGTTTTGTGAATTAATAGCACTTATCATAAGTTGTTCCAGCTTCTCTGTCTTCTTTTTCCTAGCTGGAGCATTTGGCACAGTAGTGTTCTCCATTGTCGGAGACTCCTTCAATCTGGTAACTCCATTCTCTTCAGGAGTCGGAGACTCTTGAAGAAACTCGATGGAAAGATTGTCGTCGTTGTAAGTAGCATTGGTAGTGACGCAAGTATCGTTAACTGCTGGTAAGAACTGAGGCTCTTCCGTAGGCATCGGCTGAACATACGTCTCATTGAGGTTATGAGATTTCTCGTTACCTGGTGATTGGCAAAACCCTTCGTTCAGGTTGGGACACATCTCTGGAGAATGCCGAGGAGATAACGTACCCATCTGGTTGACATTCGAGGTATACGGTTGAGCAGGAATGGTGTCTTGATACTGCTTAAATGCAACCGATAGATTTTGCCTGAAATGTGGCTTTTTCGGTTCTTGAGGCATAGCGCCATTATTTGTCGCAACATTCCTTTGCAATTGGTTTTGTGTTCTCAGGTTCGATTCCGGAACTGCGTTTGGAATGTTTGCCTGGAGAATTTCGTGTCTTAATCTCATCTGATTGTACAAGAGTCCTTGATCTACGCTTCGGAGTAGATTTTGCTGGTAAATGGGGTCTCGTTTCGTCACTTCTTGCTGGGGCAAATAATTCTGGAGGATGTTGTGCTGCAACATTGCTTGATTCTGCTGCATATTCTCCTGAATGATCTGATTTTGCACATTTTGAACCGCATTCTGGAAAGGTATCTCGCTAAAACGATTGTTTGTCATCATATTTGGTCTGTAGTTCTCTCGTATTGGAGAATCGTCTACAGGTAATGAATTGGGACGAGTCGTTGTTCTGATTGGTTGAGTAAGTTGTTGTCCAGTGTTTGTTGCTGCATCTCTTACTGGAGATAGGGCTCGGTATGGCTGAGCAAGAACCGTCTCATTGGACTCTGGGGAGTCTGGATAGTCTTCCTCGTCTGTAAGAATAAATTTAAGTTTAATTTTTAAACTTAATACTTGACAGAGTATTAAAAATTACATCTTTGCCTCTGTTATTTATACAGATAGATAAATGTATGCAGATTAAAAACTTGATAACCACAGATTCTATAGTTAAAGTGTTAAGATTTTTTTATCTTCGCTGTATTCATTTCTTGGTATAATAATGAAATTTATAGTTGGACTATTTTTAATTATGTAGTAAAGAAATACTTAAGGCAGTTTAATTGTCCATTACACAATTTCCTTAAAATAAGTTTCACTTACTTGCACATTGCCATGCAGGGGAAAGAGCCTCCGTGCGCAACATAGTACCTATCGGCTCCTGATACTTGTATCTCATTTGAAGATTCTTATTAGTCTTCACGTCCTTTGGCGGTGACTTAACATTTGCCGTTGTATCTAAATATAAAAAAAATATATTACATGTAAAAATCATGTTGATTAATATTTTATAAATAATGCTAATTAAGCCAATAGTATATTTAAAAAATATATTCAATGTGTTATATACAGATGTAAATAAATTTCTATGTTCAATTTTCTAATTTATCTCTATTTTGTTAAAGAGAAGTCTCTCACCAACGGTATCCACTCCATTGATATTGATCTGTTCCACTTGTTTGGTTTTAAGAACCTTATCGATGGACTCATAATACTGCTCAACACCTGCTCGTGTACCAGCTCTCTTTGCTTCACGATAACATACCAAAACTTGTTTCATTCGGGAACGGCATTGTTTACCATTGACATTGTAGCCCTTCTTCCTCATGTAACGGGCAATGCTTTCCCAGATTAATTGCGGCTTAGTAGTGTATTGTAACTGTTTCTGCACTTGCTTGTCAGTCCATACCGATACTAACAGCGTTGTGCTATCTGGTGTCCACTTGTATTTACCACTATCACTGGAATCACTCATTTTGTTTAATTCATTTCCTTTTCTCATAGGGTGTAATGGCAAATATTTATTCACTCCTGTTTTTCCTGTAATTTGTACATTTGGTAAATAACAGAACGGAATGGACCTTATTTTATAGAATGGAATTCATGGGTGCATAATTTTACAACATTAACACAACAATTTCTCGATTATGTAATATTCTATAAGTTCAATATGTACAGCAAATTTGTTTAATACAAGAATGGTGTGCGAGTTCCCGAAACATAGTTCAAAGAACACCGATTTCTATCGAATTCTACAACAACTAGCTGGATATTAAAATGACCTCTTCATAAATATATTAAGCACTTAATCTTTCTGCATCTTCAAGACATTCCTCAAATTTCCTCTATTTACTTAATCTTTTTAATTTGACTATCTATATGTTTCTTAAATCGCTACAGGAGCAGTTTTAATTTATTTGCTGCGAAAGATTCCAAAAAACACAAATATTTACATTACTACAAATATTTCATTTTAGAGACATAGCCAATATCTTAAAAAGCAAAATTCAAAGTCGATAAGTCCTTGAAAATACAATATTAAAACTTTTTCACAAGCTAATGGATTACTTTATTTTTCCTTATCTCCAAAATGCTCTTCAAACTTTCTCCAATACTTCCTCAACCCCTTTTAATTTACAGTTCAGGTGTTTTATAAATTACAAAGAAAAGCACTTTTGCGAAACAAAGTAGAGAATATCCTCAGTGACGCTTAAAAGAACTCATCGATAACCTTACGATATTGAAACTCTTTTATAACTTACTCTGAAATTTTCTCAAATATTTCCTTAACTCCCTTATATTTTTCAACCTATATATTTTATAAATCCTGACGCGAGGAGGACTTTTAAGAAATAAAACTCAAAGTAGCTTAATAACCCTTAAAAAAATCTCACTAGCAGCATTACACACTGACACTTTTTTACAACTTAATAAATTACCTGATTTTTTGCGTATCTAATTTGCAAATAACAAGCTCACGCACGTACATACAATCTGTATGTTAATCTAATCATATCCAATTAAACGTGAGTTCCTGCACTTGTAACCCACTTGTTGTACCTGCTCGCGTCCACCTGTATCCTTTAAATTGCACCAACGTTTGCACTTGTTTTCTTTCCTAACCGACGCCCGGAACAGCCGATTTAAATTTCGAAGAGCTGAGTGTGGGTGGGACCGGGTGGGACGCAACAGGTTACCACATCGAGACACATGGAAATCTTAATCCTCAAGAGATTCTTGTTTTTACCCGGACACTACATGGGTTAAATTGTAATCGCTTCTAATGCTTTATTTCGTTCTGTTCCGTAAAAGAAAGCCATAAAAGCGTAAATATTACGTCTGGACTGGAAGAAGTGCCATCGTAGGGATTCTATGGGATCCTACGAAATGCTATGAAAGAAACACGGGAACCCACCCGAGTATCGGGATACGCCATAATCACGACACATCAACCCTGATGTGTCGTGATTATCGACCCAGGTTTCACTTCGGAATTAAGCGTATTATTAATCTAAAATCTCTGAGAAAGTGTTGCTACATGTAGATGGATAAATAATGAATTCATCAAAATGATTGATGTCTATTGCATTGCGTAAATCCAACTGAAGCCGACTGAGGCCCGGTTCCACAACTCGAGTTAACCGGAGTTTAACCGGGTTACATCCGGTTTAAACCTGCTGTAAACCGGGCCTAATTGTAAATCTCCACCGTCGGTACTTATTCAATATTATTAGATAAATCTGACTTTGGGTACGTCTTCACCACCTAATATTATTTAATACCGAATTAGTAAGGTGGTGACCAGGCGGTTTTGAATAAATACCAATAGTGAACACACAAGTGGGTCCGATTCCCATGCACCTAAGAACATATGGACGGAGCCCAAGCCAGGGCGTTTATTACAAAGATGAGTTGGGACATTGCTCACGGACAGGGCGCGCGATCGCATCGTGTGCTGCCCTCTGGTTTTGAACTTAAGCTTTCATCGTTTTTGCCCCCAAGGGCGGCGCAACGAATTTCTGGTAGGGGCTCCCGCACTCGCGATGGCGGTGCCATCTACCAGTCGCCGCTGGCGGCTCACGTACTCGTGATGGTAATGCCATGCAGCAGTTCACGGTGGTGGCTTTCCTACGCTTACCGACACTGATCACTTTTAATGGTAAGGGAAGAACACTCGTGGCGCCCTCTTTGACTGTACCCTTCACTTACCTCATTTATTTCATCCGCAAATGATACAGGCAAAATTACAAAGTGGGTGCTCGAGAGTTGAGTTATACTGTAGATACGATTTTTATAAGCTACGAAAATTAATAAAAAATTATGAATGTTCCGTAGGGAATACATAAAACCTAGATGAAAGGAGATACCCAACAACATGGTTCGACGTAGTCGATATGACGTCAGGTGTAACGTTCCTTGTCGCAAGATGAAATCCTGACGGAGGGGAAGGGTGGATACGGTTTTTTAGGCAAATTTTTTTCGGCACGTTTTACAGTTGATAGCAATCGCACGAAACACATTACAGTTTTGTAATATTTTATTATGAGTTCAGCTTTTCATTACTTGTTTCACCGTCCATAAGGTGACTTTAATAAGTAATGTAAAATTAATAAAAATCGTACCGTAAAATAACAGTATCAATCTTTCTTATCGTTAGTATTATCAAGAAACTCGTAGTGTTGAGCGATGCGAGAAACGCGCCCTGCGCGTTGAGTTCGAGCGAGACGCTACAGAGTTATATACAGTAAGGATTAGGATTTCAGGAGTGGGGGAAATGAAAATATAATTTATTCTTTGCTACAGATAAAGAAATAAACTTTCGATGGACTCAAAAAATTCAGTAAAAAATCAGGAATTT